TGGAAAGGATAAAGCAAAGTTATAAATGCTCTCCCAAACCCAGGACTCCTATTCTCTCCAAAATTTATCTTAAGATTGAAATGATCAACCTAGCAATATCTCACTAATCCCAGTTAAAATTTCCTCACAATTTGCATGGCCTTAATTTCCCCAAGTTCAGTTATAGCTGGTTTAGAACCCTCAGTCACGTTGTCATGTATCACTGCTCTGCTGCAGATGGGCGTGTCACCCATGGCAAGTGTAATTTTATGATTTGCCATTTCTGACAAGAGTTAGGACAGTTGTCCCTTGGTATCCGTGGGGGATCAGTTCAAAGACAGCCCTCCCCCGACCCAGATGCCAGAATCTGTGGATGCGCAAGTCCTTTATATAAAATTATGTAGTAAGCAGAGCTTTTCAGCACAGCATTTATCATCCACGTCTTCCCTCATTGCAAGTTGAAGGAAACATCCTTGTTCCTGCCAAGGGCTCCTCTTGGACTCTGGATCCTCCATCTCTCAGAGACCTCTGTTCGGCAGTTATACCCACTGCTGCTCTGCACCAACGGTTTCTCCCTCTCCCCTGGATCTCCCTCATTAGTCATGAAGTGGGGTGATAATGAATTAACTCTTTCCCTCCTCTCCTACCCATATGAACCCATTTCTCTGTTCTCCATAGAAAAACTTCTTGGAAAGGGTGACTCCACTTCTGATTCCATTTACCCCTTAATTCATCTCACTATGGTTTCTGCCTTCCTCAGTCCACTCAAACTGCACTTGTCAAGGTCACCAGTGGTCTTACTGCCAAATCCTGTGACCATGCCTGCAGCCAAGGACCATGTCTGCGCTCTGAACTTATCAGACTTTTCAAATATATCCACCACATCTCTGATCACTCTCTGCTTTTCGAAACCTTTTTAGGTTAATAGCTGCCATTACTTTAAATTCCCTTGACTTTCCTTTTCACTGACTGCTTTCACCAGCCTTTCTTTTTTTTTTTTAACTTGTTGTTCTTTCATTATTTGACTTTTAAATGTCAGTACACACCAGGCCTCAATCCTGAATCCTCTTTACTTCTCTCTGCACACTTTCCCCAACTAATCTATCTAGTCCCATAATTTGCATGCCATTGAGATACTACAACAACCAAATTTAGTGCTGACTCCTCCTTGACCTTCAGACTCATATGTCAAACTGCTTGCTTAACCTCTATACCTGATGTCCCAGGACTTTTCAAACACACTGTGGTCAAAGCAGGACTCTCAATTTTCATTCTACAAACATTTGTTTTTCAAAGTTTCCCCCCAAGTTAGAAAGTAACACTATCTCACCTGCCAGTGATGGAGCTAGAAACCTATGAATCACTCTGGACCTGTCCCTCTCCAGCACCACAACATTCATCTCATGAGCAAAGTCCATTGCTTCTCCCGTCCAATGTTTCTCAGGTTGCAACCAGCCTAGTTAAACACATCAGCTCTCACCTGGATTATTGCCACGTGGTATCCCTAATTCAGCTCTCTCCTCATAGTCCATACTCCAGACAGAAAGAAGCCCTAAAAACATAAATGAGAACATCTCATTCCTCTGCTTAAAGCCCCTCATTAGCTTCCAACGATATTTAAAGTGAGATGAAGTCCATTTCCTTACCTTGGTGTGCTAGGTCTCACAAGGTGTGACTGGCGCACTGCCTCTCTGTGCTCACCTCACGTCTGTCCTTGACTCACACTGCTCCAGCCACACTGAATTCTCTCCCAGAATTCTCCTGCTTCACAGCTTTGCACCTGCTCTCCTTGCAAGGTTGTTTCCCAAGAGTTTTCCCCTTCTGGACCCCTTATCCTTCGATTTTTATCAGAAAGAGAGTCCCTCCACTGAACTCCCTCACTCATCACATTATTGTCTTAATGTTTTTTCTTAGCACTTGCCACTCAGTATGCATCTTCTCATAAGTCTTTTATGAAGTGCACATACTACACAACGGCAGGGGCTTGTTCATCCCTTTCATCACATTATCTCAGTAGCACCGTACCTATCAAATACAACTCAGTAAATACTGGAACAAATCAATGAGTACATTTAATAGATGAATCTTTCTCCTTAACGTTCTTTTTAGTCTCTGGTTGAGTAATTTGTAGTCATTCCCAATACTTTCCCCAAAGATGTTGTAATACAGTTACCTCACAGAGTGCTCCAAGGTTCCTGATCCTAAACTATTGACAACCTGAATTTATTCATATGTATTTTATCCACTACAAATACTTTCAATTGCAAGAAATAGAAAGCCTGGCAAAGAGTTTACATTTTGCATATAACCAGAAGTCCAGAGGAGGGTGGTGGCTGCAGCGGAGTCAGCAGCTCAGTGATGTCATAGTTTCAGATTGGCATCCAGTTCTTTCACCTTTCCTCTCCTGGTCCCATGACAGGAGCTGCAGTTCCAAGCATCACACAGTTGTATTCAGTGCCTGGGACCAAGGGCAGCACAAAAGGGAGACATTTTTCTCTGTTTCCCTTGCCATTATTAAAGGGGAAAAAAAATCTTTTCCAGAAACTCCTGCACAGACTTCTGCTGGTGTGAATTGGTCACAAGTGGGTCACATGTCCACCTGCAGAAATAAAAGTAGGTATTTTGTTACTAGGGAAGGAGGGAATGGCTTCTGGTGGACAATAAATAATCAGGGCTGTGAAGAATCACAAAATCAGGCAAATTCAGCCTCCCCTTTTTGGCTTTGCTTAGTGACGCTGGCAGATGGTGATCACCCCAGTTCCCGACCCATTACTCTGCTCGCTGTCTTGCCATGTTTTTCAACCCATGAGCATCGTGACTGAGGCAGACAGGGAGGCCTTGTACTTCCCTGCTCAGGTGACACACGCCTGGGCTTTTCTGCGTGGCCTCTGTGGACACTTTCTATTGCCAATTCCATCATCTCCATTAAATTTTAAAATCTAGCTATGAAGCGTTAAAGTGATGATTTCTCATAACCTCCTTCCTGGAGTTAAAACTTGGCAAAAATAGGGTTTTCTGTAATTAATATTGTTCTGATAGCAGCATCTACCTTCATAGTCAGGATTTTCCTCCAATTTAAGTTTACTTAGAAATTGGATTATCTCCTATTACTTTTCTTTTCAGGAACAACCTCTCCAATCCTAATACAATACCCCCAAATATTGTGCTACTGGATTTGTAAGCTTTAGGAGTGAAGAAAAAAAGCAATGATATTTGGGGCTAAAACAAATAAAGAAAACACCTACTGGAATTTTCATGCACAAATTTTTACTTCCCCTTGGCCTTATTTAACTTGTGTCTACTTCCTCCTCCATGTTTCTGAATGAACTACTGCTTTGGCCTTGCCTTTTCTGGATAGTACTTACTGAATATTTACTGCTCACCAGGTCCAAGACTAAGGACTTCGCATTATTATTTAATTTGATTCGTATAGTAATCCAAAGAGGGAATCTTATCTTCCTCCCCCTTAGTTCCCCACCCCAAACCCAAGTTTAAAAAGAAAACTGAGGCCCTGAGAGGTGAAATGGCTGTTTGGGATCATGTCATTTGTAACCACAGATTAGGGTTACAGATCAGTAAGAGGTCACTTTTTTTTAAAACATTTTTTTATTGAGTTATAGTCATTTTACAATGTTGTGTAAAATTCCAGTGTAGAGCACAATTTTTCAGTTATACATGAACATACATATATTCATTGTCACTTTTTTTTTCACTGTGAGCTACCACAAGTTCTTGTATATATTTCCCTGTGCTATACAGTATAATCTTGTTTACCTAGTCTGCATATGCCTGTCAGTATCTACAAATTTTGAAACCCCAGTTTGTCCCTTCCCACTCTCCACCCCCTTGGCAACCACAAGTTTGTATTCTATGTCTATGAGTCTGTTTCTGTTTTGTATTTATGTTCTCTTTTTTTTTTTTAGATTCCACATTTTTTTTTTTAGATTCCACATATGAGCAATCTCATATGGTATTTTTCTTTCTCTTTCTGGCTTACTTCACTTAGAATGACATTCTCCAGGGACATCCATGTTGGGGTAAATGGCATTATGTTGTTTTTTATGGCTAGATAGTATTCCGTTGCATAAATATACCACATCTTCTTTATCCAGTCATCTGTTGATGGACACTTAGGCTGTTCCCATGTCTTGGCCATTGTAAATAATGCTACTATGAACATTGGGGTGCAGGTGTCTTTTTGAAGTAGGGTTCCTTCTGGATATATGCCCAAGAGCGGGATTCCTGGGTCATACGGTAAGTCTGTTCCTAGTCTTTTGAGGAATCTCCGTACTGTTTTCCACAGTGGCTGCACCAACCTGCATTATTTGACTCTAAAGGCTCTTAATCACTGTAATAGACCACCTTCTCTAGCATGGCTTGCTTATTATTCTTTGGGAAGCAAATTTTAGATCAAGATGCTGTTCAGGGCCACTGATTTCAAGGATCTGAACAATACCTTACTTCACATGCACTTCCAGGTGATTTTGCTGCAGGGAATACAAACAGGGTATCTTCGTAACTGAGCAGAAGGGAGCGGCTTTACAGTACGGCCACTGCGTCCCTCTAAGGCTCACAGGTCCCTTTCCTTGCTGCATCTGATTGAAAGGTCTGCTGGTGGAAAATGGACTGCCTTCCCTCATCAGAACTCACGTCTCTCATCAGAATAAGCTCCTATCTTGAACTCCCTTCTGTGCTCAAACGGACGCAAAGTTCCTTGAAAATACACAGGTAACAGCCCTTGAGCTGTCCAGTTCGGTACTGCAGAGTGTGAACTTACGGCCGTTTTCTTAGAATAGTAATAGCAAACACTTTTATAGTGCTTAGTGTGTTATCAGCGTGAGTCTAAGTATTTATGCTGGTTTCCTGTGGCTGCTATCAAATTACCATAAATTAGGTGACTGTCCAGATTTCAGTCAGATTTCAGCCTAAATCTGTCTGAACAATTCTGGGACGCCATTGATAATGCTCTTCTATAAAATACATGGAAGATGTATTCCAAGAATAATACCACATCATTTAATAAAAATATTGTTAAAATACTATATGTTGGTAGGTGGAATAAGACAATCTACACATTTCTGGTTTATTGTCTCATAATCCTAGAGGCCAGAAGTCCAAACTCAGAATCACTGAACCGAACTTACAATGTCAGCAAGGCTGTGATCCCACCAGAGAATCTAGAGGAGAACCTGCTTTTTGCTTTTTCCAGCTTCCGGTAGCCGCTGGCATTCCCTGGGTTGTGGTCAAATCATTCCAATCTCTGCCTCTGTCTTCCTATCACCTTCTTCTAGGTCTGTCTGTGGACAACTCTCCCTCCCTCCCTCTTATATAAACATGTGATCTCATTTATATATATGTTATCACACTTAGGGTCCACCTGGGTCATTCCTGCAGCTCAAGATCCGTAACTTAATCACACCCGCAAAGTCCCTTTTTAACAGATAAGGTAACATTTACAGGTTCTAGGGATTAGGGCCAGATATCTTTGTGAGACATGATTCAGGCTACTGCAGCATATTACACATATAACTCACTTAATCACAGAGCCATTGAGATACATATAATTGTTACCCCCCTTAACTGTTGAGGAAGTTGAGGCAGAGAGAGGTTATACAACTTATCCAAGATCAAACAGTCATTACAGGACATTACCTGAATGTGAACCCAGGTTGTTTCTTAACTTAAAAACTAGCTGCCATTGTAAGTAAATGAAAAAATAATTCCTCTAGAAGAATTCTCCAGACTGAGTGTGCCAAGATAGAAATCAGATGAAAAGAGGTTTCTCCTTTAAAGACAGTACTCTTAAGTTATAGAATTTCCCTACTCTCTCGTCTTTGGTAGGACTCCCCATTTCATTGTGTACTTTACTATCTTATGCGTACACAGTGACATTAAGTCCAGGGCTTTTAGAGTAATGTGACAAAAGTATGCTGTATAAACTGTATGCAGTTGAGGTATTTGCTGAATGAATAAGCTTTTAACCAACCAAAGGAACACCATGTTTGAGTCGGCAATGAGCAGTTAACAAGCTAGATACTCCTTATGATTTTTCATTTATAAGATGACTCTTCTAGAGCAGCTTTCTACACTGCTGTACTTCCAATATTTCAGCCACTGAAAGCTTATTCTGAAACCCATAGATCCCAGGAAAGGGTTTTCTAGACTGAACATCCTGTGGCATCAGATTTGTCACACTGCTAGCAGGCAATTCCAGGACCTTTGAGCCATGGGGCCCTAAGGGCTCTGCCTCTTGAAATCTTTGACCTGTTCATCTCCGATTCTTGCTCAGGTCAGGCTGTTTTAGCCAATCAGCCCATTTCTGTATGCAAGTTCTGGGGGCTCTTCCAAGAAGCTCTATATTCACATCCTTCACCAAGTCTACATTCTTTGTAACACCCTCTTAACCAATTCATTTTCTATTTCTCGCCTCCATACACCCAGTTTCACCAAAACAAACTTCATAGTTATTCACATCACCAAACTCTTAGGGTCAGGTCACTTGGTCCAAAGGCCACATCTTCCTTCCACAGAATCTCATTCTCTTTTGACCAGACTAGCACAATTGCTCACACACACACCTCAGTTCACAGCCTTAACCTGTCCCACCAGTTCTGGGACATCATAGATAATGCTGTTTTACAAAATACTGGAAAAATGTGTTCACAGAATAATACTACAACATGCAATAAAAATATTTAAAAAATATTATATGTTGATATGTGGAATAAGACACCCACACATTTCTGGTGAGCAGGTAAATTCGTAGAATCCTTTTAAAGAGCAACTTGACATCTCTTATCAAAAACCTTGAAAATATTCATGATCTTTGATCTAAGAATTCTATTGTGTAAGTCGTGTAAGTCAGTGTAGGTTAAGGTGCTGTAACTGATTCCAAACGTGTAAATTGATTTAAGCACAATAGAAAGTTATTTACCACTCATGTGACAGCCTGGTAGGGTGACTTTCCATGACATCCCGAATTCTTAGAGACAAGGCTTCTTTCTAAAGCACTGTCACCCTCTGTCATCACCATCTACTCTTGGCAAACAGAAGAGGAAAGCGAGCACGGGAAAGATATACTCACTTGAAGCTTTAATCCAGAAATGACAGACATCACTTCCCCCCATATTCCACTGGTGAAAACTCATCCTTCACCTAACTAACTGTAAGAGAGACTGGGAATGTAAAAATCTAGCTATGCCCTCAGATACAGTAGGAAATGACCTTTTGCTAAATGACTAGCAGCCTCTGCCATGTCACTCTTTTGAAAGAAATAAACCTGAATATAACATACAAAATACAAAGTGACGGGAATATAGACCCAGTAATGAGTCTGCACAAGTGTCAAGGGCAGATGGATAGGTTCAGGTTTGAATGCTGGCTCCAGCCCTCTCCAGCTGGGGCACGTGGCCCGGTTACAAGCTATCTAATTTTTAGTTGCGATAATCATCTTTCAAGGGGATTTGGTGAAGATTAATTGGAATATTGTATTTAAAGCATTTACTAAAGCACTTGTTACAGAGTAATCATTTAATAAGTGGTTATTATTATTATTATTATTATTACTGCTATTTTAAAGTTTTATATACAAATGTATCTACCAGTTATTCCTGTTGAACCAAAATAATCTAAATGTATCAGTAAGTTAATCATGGTAAGGCATTCAGTAGAACAGACTAGTTATTTAAAAGTGATAGAAAGCCTACACAATACAATAGGAAATGTATTTAAAATACAAAAATTTAAAAGCACGAGACCTTTGTAAAGGTAAAAATTTAATTATGTTAAAGTACTCTTAGCTATACAAAAAATTTAAATGCAACAAAGTTTTAATCAATATTTATTATTTTTCACTTTGTTTTTACTTTTTATATTCTTAAATTTTTAGTGACTGTTTTACTGTTTTTCTCTTGTTTTTTTTTGTCTGATTATCTTAAAAGTTCTTCTAAATAATAAAATATTACAGACATGGTTGATATTTCTTACAATGCCTCCTGAGACCCCTCTTCTTATTCCAGAGAACAGCTTTTCTTGAGCTGGTGTATATTCTTCATAATCAAGTATTTTACTCTGGGTGTGCAAATATGTTTGCATAAAAACTGTATTACCTGGAATTTAAAAAATTACTTAAATAGTATCCATGTTTGGTTTATTTTCATGTAATATTACTTCTTCAATATATAGCTACATTTATTCTATAGATCTAGTTCATTTATTGCAGCATTTCCAAAGTGTTTCATTAAATGAATCTAATACGATCCATTCATTCATTCACCATATACAGATATTTAGGGGTCTTCATTTTTCTGCTATTCCAAAGAAATATTGCAATGAACATTCTTTTATATGCTCCTTGTGAACACACATGATAGATTCTGTAGAATATATTATCAGAAGTAAAATTTATGGGTCACAGGTTATGACTATATTGAGGTTTATTAAATATAGCCAAGTTGGTTTCTCACTGAATTTATATTCTACTAGGAATATATGAAGTTCAATTTTTCATACCTCCAGCCAATTCTCTCAGTCTATTTTTCTCTCCCTTCCTCTCTCTCTCTCTTTTGCCAGCCTATGGTATTTAATGGTATCTCTGTGGTTTTAATTTTCCTTTCACTAATTAATTGTGAGGTTAAA